CGATCATGGAAAGCTTACCTTTTCATCTCCTAGAGGAGATTCTCTTCAAACTAGATCCCAAGTCTCTGGTAATGATGCAATGCGCTGATAAATCCATCAAATCTCATGTATCCAAAGATCCATATTTCAAACCCGAATACTTCCCTCGTCTCGGATCTGATTTGCTTCACATGTCCTCATTAGGCTCCAACTTGCTCTTCTGCCACTCTAACGATTCTAGGTCAACCAGAGACAACAACAAAGATCCTTTAAAGATCGAGTTCTCTCATATTCTCGGATCTTGTTCCGGACTTCTCCTACTCTTCATCCACGGTCTCTGCATGGCGAATCCCCTCACAAAGAGGTTTCGATTCCTCGATCACTCTAAATCAAACCTTCTCTCTGATACAGGTCGTAATCGTCTTAGTCGCAAAAATAAAAACCGCATTGGATTCATGGCTGATGGGATTACTCAGAGATTCAATATCGTATGCGTACAGGAGCTTAACGCTTCGAATCCCGACGAAACAATGTACCGGTTCGAGATCAACTCGGGAGATTCCCGCTGGAGATTATCGAAATCTACTGTTACTTGCGGCTCAAGTAACCTCATGACCGGTATGAAACCTGTTTACCTAAACGGATCTCTTCACTGGTTGAGAAACGACGGAAGCATCGTAGCTTTCGATCCCGAAACACAGCGAGCAAGGCTGATTCCGACAATATTACCTCAAGGAATAATACGCTCGAAGATCCTGTTCGCCGCTGGAGATAACAAACTAGCGTTGGTATCTACGACGGTGGAAGCAATTTACATTTTTACCCTCGAGGAGATTTCGACAGATCATCCCAAGTGGGTTCTAGCGAAGCGGATTGTGAGCTTGGAGGACAAAGAGAATATTAACGTTGTAGCTTACGACGGTAAGTGTTTGATGGTGAGGGAGACGAAGAAGAAAAGTTACGACGGATTGGTTCATGGTTACGACTTGAGAGCTAACAAGTGGAGAGTCATTGGTTCAATTCCAGGGTCGTGCGATTCTGCTCATGATTTCTATCAATTTAAACCGTCTTTCTTCTCTGTGAAAGTGTTGGTGGACGTCATGACGATGGTTCATGATCATGATGATAAACGCATGTCTTCTCTATGCACAATTATGAGACTGATTGATGAAATGTCACATACGCTCAGAACCTGTTGAAGAAAAAGGAAACACGACTTGGACTTGGAAAAAGATAGATGATTGAAGAGGAAACGAGACCAAAGAGTTCCTACAAGAGAATAAGAGTGAGTGGTGGTCGAAATTTGTATCACGCGATGAACATTGACTAATTTTGGTTAATATATCTATTCTCTTCTTTATTAATTAGTTGTTCAGTGTTTTTTTTTTTTTTTAGAAACAAAAACGAAATTTAGTTGTTCAATGTTTGATGTTTTCTCTTGTTTATTAATTAGTTCTTCAATGTATGATAATGATCCTTCTTTTCATTAATTTTTAGAAACAAACTATAATTTTTTTTGTTGAAAGATCTACTATAAAACTTTTGTTGCTAATGAGGATTTAAACCAGCCTTTACGAGGAAATAAAGAAACAAGCTATTCAACTTTCCCTTTTTTTTGGTTGATAAAATCAAATTTTTTTTTTTTTTTGATAAAATTTGAATATATTACCAAAAGAAAATAGAGTAGATTTACAAAATTTTAAAACCAGAAGTTACAGAGGCCCAAAAAAAATAAAAAACTTTGTGGAACTAATAACGGGTTAAAATATAGTGCAGTACTACGAGTAAGTGAACCACTGCAACAGGAGACCATTACAGCGCCTCCGTGAGTATCGCGCTAGTAGTGAGTCCCGTGTAGTTCGGTCTATCCGTTTGAAGATTTCTGCAGCAGAGAGAGTCAAACCTGTGTGGACACGCGCGTTCCGCTCCATCCAAATAAGATAGATAGTGCATTGAGCCACTAATCGTTTCAAAATCCTAGAGATTGTCCTCGATGGAGTTCTCATCCATTGCAACAATTGAGACCAATTAACCAAACCCATAGCCGAACCACCATTTAACCTTGGCGTGACCATTCTCCAAACGTCAACTGCAAAAGTACACTGGAANAAGATGTGGTCACGAGTTTCCTCAAACNCATTGCACATCGAACAAGCCGGAGANATGGNTGCATTCCAATGATGAAGTCTCGACTTAGTTGGAAGTCTATCTAAAGTGGAGACCCAAAACTGAAATGCGTGTCTCGGAACCGCATGACTAAACCAAACCTCTTTGTACCANGGAGCCAANGGGNCAGAAGGGCGCAGAAGATTNCAAGTTACTTTAGTGGAGAAACAAGNTTTNCTCGAGCCTTCCTCACCCCATGTGTAAACATCCGGTCCTCTGATAGGAGCTGGTGGATTCAGATTGGTGATGGCGTTTCTATAGGCTTGAACTGCCGTGTCCCTAGAGCGAAGAGATGGAAGAATCCATCCCGTAGTTGAAGAGGCAGCAGTCGAGACAGTTGA